AAAAAAAAAAAAAAAAGAAGCCTGAGTGAATTAGAATAATTTGCATAAGACCTTGATTTTTCTTTTGAGAACTTCAGGAAACTATTACACTTCTGGCACATTGCCTCTATCACTTTTTGCCACCTCTCTCTTTTTTTTTTTAGGGCTTAATTTTATTTTCAAAGAAGGGAAGCAGCTTGGGAGCAAATATAACAAAGAAGTATTGAGAGCGACTCTCATAATAAAGCCCTGACTACACTCACTTCACTGACAAATCTCTTAGCCAAATTCCACTCCGACAATCAAACAACAATAAAAACTGAAGCTTGGTTGCAGAGGTCATTAAAATTTGCATTGCACTCATAAAAATGGAGTTAATCCTTGATTCTTGCCCAAATTCCAGGATAACTATAATACATATTATCCTCTATGCAATTTTCAAGTGGAAAAGCTACTGCTTGGGTAATTTTGTAATATTGCGTAAAATATATAAGGTTGAATAGGATGCTTTGCAGAGATTAGTCAGGCCTCTCTGAAATGCAGCTTTTCAGAGGTAGTTGCATTTCWCTAGTGAGTTAGCAAACCCTACAGAGAACAGAGTACAGACTGTCTTATGCTTTGTGAAATCTTGTCGATGAAATGCAGTGTGTAATTGTAACGGTGCAATTGTTATATATGCTGAGTAAGACTGAATGTAAAAATTTCATCCTTCATTTAAAAACCATTAAATTAATTCTATTAAGTCAGAGGAATTTGGCCCTCGGTACATTTTATGAAAATTCACTGAAATAACCTTACACTAATTCTTAACTGTGCATGTTTAGCTAATCAACCACTTTATTTCATATACAAACTGCCCTAAAAAGCTCAACATTAATTATTTATGAACTGAAGCCCTCTCTTTTCCCAAAGCAGCAATGAACTGAACATAAACGGATTCAGCCCGGGGTCACTGACAAAGGATATTTTTTTCCACAAGTGTCACGCAGACCCCAATACCTTGAAGTCCCTGGTAAGTTCTCTAGGAAGTGGTTAGACCTTAAGCCATAACACTGGAGAAAAATCATGCTTCATCAGTTTTGTGGCGCTGGTATTTCACTCTGGAGCCGTTAGTCAGGCACTTTGCACAAATTCATTCAGAAAAGGTGAAGGTGAATTTGTCCTTTGCTATAAAAAACATGTAAGCACATCTTCCCCCTCATGAGCCCTGCTGCTAATCAAGAAGAAAACGACCTCCAGCTCCTACCAGCTACTGTTAGCCCAGCCAGTGTGGGCTGGTCCTTTCACATTGAGTCCCAWACAGAACAGCTGCCTGTGCAGTACCATGACAGCTGCTACTGAATGGGCTACGCTAACAGAACATGACATAAGGTCTGCCCCAATACAGCCCGGTGCAGACAGAACYGTGTAAGTGGGAATCAACTTTTCAAATCCTCCAGATTGTAGCTCCTCTCTCAGTTGAACAGAAGAGTTCTCTTAGGAAAGAAACCTTCACAAATAGCACGATTGCTTCAGCAGGACTTACCTTGCATGGCAGACTGATCTGTTAGTTCAAGTAGTCAGAGAAGCAAGTGGTTTAGCATTATATGTTTAAACCRTTAAAGAACAATACCCAGAAATCTCATGCTATCAAGAAACCAACTATGTTTGCATCATAAAAATAAGTCCATCATTCCAATACACATGGGAAACAAATGATGATATCCCACCCTATACAAGCAGTAAGACTTCCATGGACAGAACCTCCCTACTTTTCATGCTTCTTGCTCTCCTCGGAGTCCAACTGATTTCTAATGGGAATTTTACTCGCTACAAGAATTATGATTTAGTCTTGGTTTAAAACCACCAGAACATGTACGTAGCGAGCAAYAAGATTGGAGAGTGTGAAGCTCTGAAATAGGGACTATTGAACTGATGGTGCTTCTCCTTGCACCAYGGGCTACGGAAGGAGATGCAATGACAAACAAGGGAGGAGATGCACCCCAATTTTTGGCATGGGAGGTTCTGGAGGAGGTGGAGGCTAGTGGGAGGTAGGACGGGCAGGCTGTTACCTGCAGTACGAGCTGCTGCCAGGCGGTTGCCAGTGGCTGCCCATTGCCAATGTTGCAAATGCTCATTCGGTCTGCTGGCTGATTGGCACGCTCAAGTTGCAGGGAGACATTGCGCCGCTCTTCCTCGAGTGCCCGGGTCAGCCGCTCAAAACGCGCCTCCTGCTCCTTAACGGAGGCTAAAATGCTGGCAGCAGACCTTATATCATAGTCATCCATGCTTTCTTTGAAATGCTCCTGCCTGTTAACTGACCAGGGCAAATGGAAAGGGTTAGGTAAAGGGGTAGGAGAGGGCACAGGTCAGAGGTGAAGAATAAAAATGCACATTGTTAGTCACCCTGCTAGAAGAGCCTTTGCTCCAGGAAGCAAACTGCTTTGCTSTTTGAAAAGACTTCATTTCCAGCCACCGATTTCATTTTAAATTAAATGTAATTAAGCCAAGGCATTGCTGTTCAAAAAAAGAACACATGCTCACCTTGGAGAGAATTCCTTTGATCTTTTTTTTTCTGAAATTGCTCTGTCTGACAAGGATTTTTCATCCCTCTTGMAAAGCTAATTTCACTGTGTAAACAGTAATGTAGTTAAAAAAAACTATACAAAAAAAAAAAAAGATATGAGGAACACAACCTTTCTCAGTACAGACACCTGGAATTTTTGCCTTTTACAGGCTAAATGAGAACTGTAACAGAGTTTTATGGTACCAGAAAACAGTTGTGTCCATTTTTTCCAAGTGAACCGAGCCCCCTAAATTTAGCAAGCAGTGGCTAAAAGTAGTTTTCATTTTTAAATTGCAGAAGTTAACACTGCAATATGGAAAACCTTTCTAAGTGCAGACAGTGCAATTGCAGTTGAAATGTGCATGATGATTTCAGCATGGCAGCCAGTGAAACAGTCCTTCATGCAGCTGTTTGCTAATAATGTAAATGAAGAAAACAAAATCCYAAATCAAATATCTCCCACGGAAAACACACAGGACTGCTTGTGTCTCAAATTCAGGAAAAAAGGCAGAAAGCCAAAACCCAGCTATGTGGGATATATCTTCTACCTTATGTCATCTCTAGCAGGTAAAGTAAATCATTTCATTCCACTGAAAACCCTACTGCCAGCTTTACTGTGTGTGCAGGAGAACAAAGAGCTTGCTCTGAGCTGCTAAGAGCTACAGAAGTTAGAAATTGTCCCTTTGGTGCTTCCATAAGAGCTGCACGTCTTCTGCAAAATTTGTAGGAACTCATAAGCAACCCTGTAACCCTCTTCTCTTCTGTCAAAATTGATTGAAAACAACCCAAACTAGGCCCAAAAGACACCATGGGCAAAGGAAAGAGATACCAAAGCAAGGATATACACCTTTATTCCATAGGAAATTACCTTACAAGTTTAACTATTGCTCCATGGGCCATGGTTAACTCCAAAGGAGTTACTTTGGAGACAAAATCACACTGGATTCTAGACAAGGACTACTACTCTGTATAATTCTCATAATGGTCATCTATAACAATGATTTGAGCCTTTCATCTCTACGGACCAGTGAGTGTTATAATAGAATATAAAGGCTTTTCTTATGCACACATTGATTTAATTTCTACTGATATTCTGGAAGAAAACCCGAAAGTACCACAGCACTACACTCCAGTCAGAACACAGAGCAAGCCGCCTGCTTCAGGAATCTCCCACTCTGATCCTTGTTTTGCAAAGCCAGATCATTAGCAGTGTCCCCAACCTTCAGATAGTGCTTTAATGTCTTCCCAGGAGGACTGCAACCTTGTATAAGAAAGTCTACACRAAAAGACCACACGATGGGGGACAGCGCTGTGTGAGTCACCTGCTGCAGCACAGCCTGCTGTAGGCCCAGCTTCTCATGCYGTAGGCCCAGCTTCCCATGCCATAGGCCCAGCAGTCTCCCATGGCAGAGCTATGGGAAAACACAGCCAAACTTTCTGGATGGATGTGAGCTGGCTCGCACACAGAAGGCTGCACTGGAGGAGGAGGAGGATATATCTGCATGTTCTGCCCCGCTGCCTCAAGAGGCCAAGGCAGGGTAAGGAACTGGCCGGACTCCACAGCCAGCCCTGGCTGGTCCCATGGGGGAGCACAAAGGAAGGGATAACTCATGGTCCTTTTGTCCAGCTCCTGGTGTATCTGCTCAGGGTCAAGGGTCTTAATATGGACAAAGAACCTGGAGAATATTATACTGAAAAAGACTGCAATCCTACATGCAGAAAGAGGGAAAAACTAGCTTCTAGCTTTCTTCAGTGCTARTGGTTCAGTGCATGGTACAGTCCTGTGCACAGTGTCTGGGCGCACCATGACCAGGGCTCTGTAATGCTGCTCTTCAGAGGCTGTAAGAGCATTTAGAGGCTGGTCCTTCTCGCTGGCTGTGGGTAGCTCACCTGGTAAGTCAGAACCTCCTTTGTTTTCTCCAGCCCTAACTACATTAATCTCATGTTATGAACATGGCAGCCTAATGCTCCTTTAGTTCTTGCTCCTCTAGTTTAAATGCGGGCTCAATTGGATCTTGGATGTACATGACCCTGGATGAAATGCTTCTTTTGCAAGTTAACGGATCAGTAGACCCCTATGGAAATCATAATAAGGATTGGTTTTGGCTAAAGAAATTTCTCTCACAAAAAAAAAGAATTGTTTGAAAATTGACTTAGCCATGACAAGGTAGGCAAGTGTAACACCCGCCAGAAGGAAAGAGAAACCCAGCACCGAGGTTCTCAACACAAGGTCAGGATTGAGCTCTTTGGGGAAGTCATCACTGCAGAGCTAMTCATGCATTCTCCAATAACTTACTGTGTTCCCTCATGCAGACCAGAGTTTCATCTAAAACCAAATCCTACAAATTAACCTGCGTCGGATTAAACTTAAGTATTTGGCCTATAACTAAAATACAGCTCTTTTCCAGCTGGTCTGGAAAGGTCTCCATTACCTTTTAGAAGCTCAAGAGGTTGGATGAGCTAACTGCAAAAAGTGAATCAATTMAGAATGTGGGAGGAAGATGACAGGATGTGAGCTACAATAACTAATTCAAAACAATGCATTCCCTTTAGAGTAGATTATCAATTTTTTCATTCTAAGGGAACTCATTACCAACAGTGCCCTGAAAAACTGAAAGAACCTCCTGTAATACATGATTCTGAAGCAGTAACAGCTTTAATAATAAAAGCTGTAGCTGATGATTGAGCTGATGTACAACTTTCAAGTCACATTTTGAGAATATGACAAAGATCTCATTGAGAAGTTTCTTAATGAGGTAGAAGCACTTGATGCCACACATGAGAGAACCTAGAAAAATTAGGTTCTATAAATGGTACAAATCTCTAGAGAACTATAGAGATCTCTGTGCAGGAAATAAAGTGTAAACCTCCTTACAGCCATAAATACTATGCTTCTTTTCTCTGTGCAGAGAAAAGCATAGGCAGAAAATAAACTGTATAAATTTTCAGATGTACAATTAGTGACCATAAAAATCCTGATTGCTATGCAGAAAACTGCAGCAGAACCAATAACTGCCCTGTAAGAACCACTGGACAAAGAGAGACTTAYGCATTTCAAATGATTCATTAGCAGATAAATACTTGCATGCTGTTGATTGCACTCCCAATTATTTACCCAGGATTTCAACAATTTACATTATCAGCAGTCTAGACTAGGAGAGTAAAAATCAACAACAAAAAATAGTACTGACTCATAAGCTAGTTACTCAGGCTGCCACTTGCACTTTGCTACCATTTGTAAATAGATTAAAATACATTGAAAAGCCTATAAATAAATGAAAATATTTGACCTATAGCAGCCAGGTAAAGATTATTCCTTAGGCTGCATTTCTAAACCCAGCAAACACATGCCTGAAGAATGTCAACAGTTATGCCCACAGCAGCGAATCCAGCATTTACTGCCTGTGTCATTTTAAACATATTATTATTGTGGTGCATTAAAGCTGAAGCAAAATAAGAGGATCCATTTTTCCTCGTTTGCTCATAGGAAGAACTAATGCATCAAGCAGCCTCTGTAAGTCAATACAGTTTAAGTGCTCAGTAGGGATAAAAATCACCCCTGTGCAGAGTCAGAAAGGGGCCTGTGACCAACAACCCAACTCCTCCCTCTGGTGAAGGGTCTTGGGGACACTGGACACGTGGTCCCTTTCAAACGTGACTTAGCTCTGTGCCCTGATTTTGCTACTATGGGATAGTCAAAGAGTTCTCAAAGAGCCTCTTGGATAACCAGGGTCAAGCGGTACAAGAATTGGGCACTAAGTCCAAACAGTCACTGAAAAAGTTCAAATCCCAATGAAATTTGAGAGCATTGGAGAGAGTAGTGTCCACTAGTCAGTCACAGAGTAACTCAAAGCTTCCTCACCGATGAGAGGAGAAGTGGTTCTCAGTACACGCAGGAGATTCTTCAGGCCCAGGAGTCTGCAAACTGAACCTGGCCACGCCACTATTGCTCTCTCTGAACCCGGTTCAAATCCACTAAATCCTGCTAACAAGGAGCAGTGCAGTGAGGAACTGCTCACAAGCAGTAATGCTGYGCAGGTGGACAGAGCAAATCAGAGGCTGTACAAGCAAGCATGAAGGAAGGCTGTGAGCGTGCATGGCAACAGCAGCTATGCGACTCTGCACGGAGCAAATCCAGCCAAATACAAGCAAAAATAGGGGTTAAATAATCTATGGGATTGAAGCATAACACATGCTAATCATATTTTCACCCTCAAGTGCCACAATAGACAAGCAGCATTAAATGACTGTTAGCCCCCATGCAGTATCAGAAAGCATGCAGAGAAAACAAGCAATACACACCTAGTGGACTGGGGGATCTGAATGTTAAAGATCTTGTGGCATCACCCACTAGGACTAGAAAAGTATAGACAAAGCAGAAGAGCAGCCTCGAGCAGAACAGCTATAAGACACAGGAAAGAGAAGAAAGTTAGTTAATAAGGTATCATGGCCGATTTTGCACACAGTCATTTCACAAGTTCTACTTCCTGAGCTAAATAAATTATTTATTATACTGTTTCTGCCCTGATGTGCAAGGAAAAAAAAAAACCATCATTCAGAGAAGAGTATCTCAAGGAGACAGCTAAGGAAAACTCCAGTGGTTAATCTGATTTGTTGTCCAGTAATCAATAATTGCATTTTTGTACGACAGCTACTGTTAACCTCTTTATTTGGGGGAAAACTCTAGACTGAATCAAGGATTYTGAACAGTACAAAACTGGATATTGTTGCCAAATATTATAAAACACAGATACCTAACCTCAGGTTCTCCAAAATAAGAATAATTGTATCAGCAAATAATCTTAGGCTCAATATTCAGCATGAGTCCCCAAATGGCTCAAAATTGTCTTACMGATATCTACTAGAAAGGGTAGATTCATTTCTAAAATAAGCACACTATACAATAATTTGTATTCAATTCCCATTTTTTACCTGCCTTTAATCTATTCCTATAGGAAACTTACGTGAAAGTCCTATTTTGGATATTAGCTCTTGCTTGTAGTTTGGTAAATCTCTTTTTTGTTGTTGGTGGCGGGTGTTTTGTTTTGTTTTCATAAAATTCTGCCTGTAGAGATTCTGCCTGTAGAGATACGTAGCACCAAAACTTCTCTGGGTAAGGGCTACACATTTAGTGGCTGTTTTTGCTAGAGGCTGTACAGGACAGAATCCATTTCACTCAAACCATGGTTCACTGAAACAGTATCTCTGGTTTTAAGCCTACCACCACATCAAAAATGCTGCAACCACATGGCATGAGGTACAGAGCCAGTACAAACTTACTTTGCTGGTTCAAATGTATTAGGGCATTTTTAAAGCGTCATTTTGCCCCAGAAGATTTATGCTTAATCAGGTACTGTCTGCCTTCTTCAAGCCAGCATAAACAAAATTTCTTGTGTTTTGGCCAAATTACCAGAAACACGATCCTTTCTTTGCATGGATCTAATCTTAAAGAGCATGAAAGTACTATGTCAAATACCTGGTTTTCCTTAAGCCMACAGAATTAAGCTCAGGGCTCAAAGACTGCAAAGGTGCCCAGAGACTAAAGTCGGCAGAGAGAAACAGAGAGGGGGAGCCCAAACAAGAGAGAAAGGCCAGATTTGGAATAAATGACCTGAGGGATTAAGCATAATTCAGTTTCTCCAGACAGCAGGAGCAACATTTTGCAAACCCAAATATACATTGCATGTAATAAGTTGTGAATAAGCCACTCTGCAGACCTTATAGAGGAATCTATCCCGAGTCCAGCTCCTCTCTGTGTCGCTGCTGTGGTTGACTGCACTTTAATTTGACCCTTACGTGGCAATCGCCACCAATGAATAGCAATGAGGAATTCACAAAGCAAGAGATTTCAATATAGTTCTCTCATAGGCACCAGCAGACATACTGTGTTGGTGTCAAAAGAAACAAAAAAGGCTGGTTAGGGCTTTTTTTGTTCCTTTGGACAGAAGCAGTCTGTGAAACAAGGTTTCAACTAGGGAAGGAACAAGGGCAGGGGAAATGCTAACAGGAAAACTGCTTGAGAAGGAGCTTTGGATTCTAAAGGATACGTCAGTGAACCCTGCAGCTCGACAGTTCTATTACTGCAGAAAAGTTCATGTAAAATACTTGAGATTTTACATCAGGAGGAATTTTCCTCCAATCGGTACCAGCAATACTATTATACAAGAATAATACACTACACTATGGTTTTGGCAACACCAACAAAAAGAATCCAGACACACATACATCTTGGTAGGCATAATATAATCCTCACAATTTACACACTGCAGATTTGGCTCTGGTCAGAAGAAACTTCATATCTTATAACTGACAATAATGATTCCCAGCTAGTATAAAATAATATTCTAATTAGCCTCTTAATTAAAAGCATTATGTTATATTAACTTGTAAAATATTTTATTCCCAGCAAAACAGAGCATGACTCAGACAACCAMGTTTTTAAACATGTTCTTTCAGAAGGTACGTGTCTGGCAACTAGAGCAGGGGACAGGGAAATGGGATTCTTGGGGTTGGGGGGGGGGAATATTGTTTTATCCAAAGTCCTACTATAATTATATATACCAGAAAGCCTTGGGCAGGTCACCTAACCTCCTCATTATTTGCCCAACTACCGTAGATCATGAGGTTGGCATTCATATTTGTAAAGCAACTTGACATCCTTGATCGAAGTGATCTTTCTCCTTGTCACACTAATTAAAAACACATGCTTCRTGTCTATACTCAGAATCTGGTGCATGAAAACCAATATATTGAACCAACAAAGTACTCCTAACACAGATAACATTTCTCTGGCAAAGCTGCATTCTGTATCACTATAATGATGCCAACTTTAATAGGCCTGAAGAAAGTAAATTTTACAGCAGCAGGTGTATCAACAACCTTGAGTGCCATTTTCAAAAGAAATCTGTAGTGCAGATATTACTGCATTCCATCATTTTAAAAACAGTATACAGTCTTGCATGGATTCACCTGTGCTTGTTTAAATGACACCAGTCATGGTCCTTCTACACCTTCCTTTAGGATCTGACTCTCCACTTTAGCTGAGCTCACTTCCAGGGTGTTTTTCTGCCTAAACTTCTGTACAGTGTTTTCAAGGCTAGGTGATATTGCACTCACACAGCTTTAATTAAACTGTAGCTCAATTTCCCTAATACAATACATTCCTATTGCTGTAGCTTACTCCCAAATGAAAAGAAAAAATTAATTATAGCAATACAGAACACCTTTATAACAAATGTATTCATATAATAGCACAACTAATTCAGGAAACCATTAAACCTCAAGTTGAACTATTTTTATGGGGGTAATTTTTAAGTCTGTGCTTTAGCCTAGATGTAGTTTTACCAAATGCAACAGTTTCCATCATTTATAGACCAGAAGAGGATAGTGGTACCTCTCCAAAGCAGAGCTCTTGTTCTTTAGGACCTAAGAACTTCTCTACACTGAGCAAGCTGAAGCCTTAAATCACAGAGCTCGTTATGCCACACTTCCTGCAAAGATCAGTGTTTGTGTTAATTAACCATAAAACAGCATGGCAAAGTGTCATCACGTTACCTCACACTTACTAAGTGTCCACACTAAGGTTTAATGAGGTATGTGAGGGGCTATAAATTCACTTTGTGTGCTTGAAGTTCTCTGTGTAAACAAACCCTCCATTTATTTCTTCAAGTGAGTATCTAGGTGGAACAGGTTTAGGAAGAAGTCTCCTGCACATGCAAAGACTGAGCAATGTAGCGATGGCTCAGTTCCGACTGCAATACGAGTCTGCAGAACATGGAACAACAACAAGAGATTTTCAACTGTCACATTCATGTCAGCAACTGTTAATTCTGTCAGCTCAGCCAAGAAAACTGAAATACTAATGACATTAATTATTTCATTCCCAACTTAGAAAATCTGTAATTTGCACAGCTTAATTTCTATGTATCTACTTCAGTGCTGCTAGTGGGGAATATTTGGGAGTGAACACTTTTTTATCCCTCAAATCAAGAAGCTAAGCCTGAAGCGTCCAGCTGAGTTGAACTATTTGCACAAATCTTATAAAGCCAGAAAAATTCAGAACATTCTGATATGTTCAGCAGCAGATTTCTGCAATTCCTTTTACTTAATATTGTACATTCATGCAAATGCCAATATTTACATATACCTAGCTACTTTGATATTTTTCTATTTTCTTTGTTTTGTTTTACTACAGAATTAAAATGTAATCTATTGGGACAATGTTACCATACATGGTACCATTTTTATCTGGAAGTTAAAGCTAGAATGAATAAAAAAACATCCTGCCATCTCTTTTGGAACATAACTAGCACATTTGCTGCTTCTCAGACCTCTGACACTTTCCCTTTGTGCCTTGGATCTTTCCAAATGTGATTGCTACCAAGTTGATTAGTTCATAGGCCAATCCCTTTAATGCCCTCGAACACATGCCATTGCATCCTAAAGCTGCTGCATGCCATTGATTTTTGAAGTCTCCCCCACTGAAATCAATAAGCAGCTCTACTTCAAAACGGATTGCACTTTACAGTCCCTTGCTGATTCATGTATATTCAGGCTTCCAAGTATTCTCATGGCTGCTTTTAGCAGCAGCTGTATGTACCAAGGCTCCCTCACTTCCTCTGACCTCGATTTGATTCTCACCGACACACAAACAGCCAATCTGTAGCTATCCAGGCAAACTTGTAAATAGTCTAAAATGGTTATGGTGGAATTTTCTTACAAATAGTATCTTCCAAATAACTAGAAAAAAAAACTCTAAAGATTATATGAAGGCTAGATAGTATCAGCGTATAAATTAACTATACATGCATTCCATATAGGCTCAGTACATAGCACTGTATTGATAGACTGGGTCTGATCTCACTGTCAACAAAAATTCTTCTTTACTAGAGGCCACCCTTGCAAACAGTGCCACCAAAAATCAATAGGTCTATTATTAGAACAAGGTTGTTTCAATGAGAAAAAGAGAGACATCAACACCTAAAGCAGCATCGTTGGTAGCTTCGCTCTGCAGTTTCTTCCTAGTATTTTACAGCCTGGCTTCAACAATATAAAATCTATTTTGGGTATTGTTCTAATATTAAAGAATTATTTCCACAGAATTAAAGGATTTCTCTGAACAAGATTTTAGTATCCTTATTTTTCTTGAACCCCTAGATGCTTTGAGTTTTGATAAAAGGGCATCCACTACATGAGAAACGCTACTGATAGCATTGCAGCCTGTAGCTGTCTATGTGCACTGAACTACAGCTGAGAACAATCATATTCCAACGTTAAATCTCCATTTTGAAAAATGCAGGATTAAGAGACTGACAGGATTGGCAGCAATTTCCACAGCCAGGCCAGTTTCTCCTTGACAAAAAAGAACAACTAAAATATTAGGCAGGGCTGGAAAATCTTGCAGAWGGTCACAGTCATCCTCTCACAAAAGATTATTGTGCTATCTTCTAACAGTGGTAAAATAACACAATGGCAAGCAACAAACATCAGGGCAGCTATTCAGTTAAGCAGGCCAACAGCCTGCTTCATCTATTGCAAATGCTACAATAAATGTGTTAATAGTGTATTTAAACCAATAGACATCAGTTAAAAATGGTTATTTCAATACACAGTTTGAGGGGAGAGAGAAATCCAGCTGCAGCCCCACAGAACAGGCAGTGTTTGCGTTCGTGTCTCAAATGACTTATTCCCACCATGAAGAGTTAACTGCTGCTATAAATAGCACTGTGCAGGCACAGCAACAAAAAGCCCTACTTATTACTCATAAGCAAAGCTAACCTGGGTGCTTGGACATCAGTAAAACTATTTTMATCTAAGGGAGTGAGCTTGTATGTTTTACATGTAGATCAAGCCCAGAGAGATAATTTGATTTCAGGCTATTGAGAGATTTCCTCTGCAGTTTCAGAAGAGCAGAGCTGCATGCTGCTAAATGAGATCTGTAGATTACAGTGGAAGAAAAGCTAATAAAACTGCCTCGCTCCGGTCCCGGGTAACAACGGATGTTTTGCAATTCTAGGGCTTAYGCTCTCAGGGTTTATGAGAGCATCTCTCAGTGCTTTTGAGATTAATGCAAATAAATGCATCAAAAGGGAAGAGATTGTTTTTTAACCCATCTGAATCAAATAATTACTAACCCCCTTACAGCATTTTATTTGAATAAACAAATTGGCACTGCTAGGAGAAATCACARTTCCAGAGAGCTCAAAACAAGCATCTTACTGGTGATTCTCTTACAGCTTGTAATAGAGAGAAAAAAAATCCTTCTCCTCCTTTTCTGAACACGCAACTTGCTTAACTCTTTCCCACTCACATCTAGTAGCTTGTGTGGCTTCCCTATTTCCCAAAACACAACTGGAAAGCTTAGTATAAACAGAAAAGAAAAAAGTCTATATTCATATTTAATTCTTGACACCACTAAATCAAGCAGCTTTTATTATCTGCTTAACCAATCCTACTCTCCCTTATTTCAGCCAGATTTAGACCTTGCATTGCTTTAAACCAGGAATAATATCAATGAAGAGGAGATTAAAGCAATACGAAAAGAAGGAAGGAAGAGAATGAGGACCATGGCTTTAATTCTCTCCAGTAACATCTGTTTCATTCTAAATCAACTACTTCTTCCACCAGGCTAAATTTGGAAGCCTGAGGCACTGTTACAATACACAGACTAAAACTATATATATGCTTTCTTCAATTGTGTGTGTAGATTTAAAGATGGGACAGACAGACTCTTTGGTATTTCAGTGTCTGTAAATTTGAAATGCAATCCAAGTTCATTTTACCTTGCAACTTCAGGATGCAATCCAAGTTTGCCCCGATTAACTCTACATCTTTTTAATCTTACAAGAGAAACGTGCATTTGAGAATTATTAATTAATATCTCAGCAAAATAACAAGCTCATCTGATGTCATGAATAATCATCTGGTTCATGCATAAACCATGTTACAGCAGGAAAAACAGATGCATTTTATTTGACATTCTCAAAGAGTGTCATAATTCCATATGATGGATTTTGGCACAGAGACATCTCTTACATCACCAGCAGACCAGTCTTTGTTACATATTGCAAAAACGTCCTGCTCCAGAACATAACTGCCTGTCTGAGGGGCAGCAACAACATTAGTAGGGCTGCCAGTTAACCTCTGTGTTCTCAGGTGCACAACGTGGTTGCATTTTAAGAGCAGAAACCTGGTAACAGGTAATGCTGAAGTCCCATCAGTCAAGCACATTGGCTTCTTTGGGGTTATATTTGCAGCCAAGCTGAGGATTCAGAGATCAGCGTGCAGGACATGTCTTGTTCATGTCACTGGGTAAATCCAGAAACCATAGTAACCTCATTGATTAGTCCAAAGTCAAAACATGCTTTATTTAGCTAGACTTTTCACTGGCATGAAACAGGAATACAGCACAGTGCACAGCCTACAAAAGTGTTGCCATCATGTATTTATCAAAACCAAATTTTATTACATCACTGAAAGCAGTGTTTTTTACAGCTCAGACCGATAACAGAAAATTAAAGAGAAATTACAGAAGTCCCTTAGTTCCACAGTTTTAATGTTTATCCTAGGTATTCCCTTCTTTCTGTTCTTCTCTCACCCTACCACTATTTCCAAAACAATTTCAGTAAGCCTTTAATAGAATAGAGATTGATGAGAGGTGTAAAAAGAATTTAAAATAATAAAAGGGCAATGAGTTAAAAACATAATAATGGCAAAGCAGCAAATTACTCAAGAGCAAAAGAGTATGTAAGCAACTGCATCAGTACAATACCTTTTATTGTGTTCCTTTCTTGTAGTGGCTTTAAGATAGAAATTCTCCTTTGGGTTGATGATAACTCTGTCAGAGAAACAAAGAAACATGACAAAAATAATTTTAATTCCATGTACTAGGAAGAGGGGAATATGTTTACATAACTGATAAAATTTATATAATACAGTGAAAATGCATCATCTCTAGCTCTCCTTGATTCTCCTGTCCACCGAGTCACGCGGGTGCACAAGAATACATTTCTTCAGACATCTCCCAACCATCACCTGAGATCTTAAGAAAATCCCTCAGAAGCCTACTACAGAAATTAAGCAGTTATTCCCAGCCCCTTGGTTTCTGTCCAAGTACCACCCATAGCTCATATGTCAAATGTCTGCATACTTAGAACTTGAATCCAAAATATATTTCGTTTCCCATTGAATTATAATTTAAAACACAAAAATGTTTCCTTCATAACCACGTACCACAACATTTTCAGTCATCCAGGTCTAAATACTACTGTGACTACTAGAGTCACTTTAGTGACTCTAAAAATGTAAACTGTGCCTATATAAATACACTTCATATGGCTTGACTTTTTTTTTCAGTCTACCAACAGGAAATAAGAAAAATTAGGAAAGGAAGAAATTAACCTTTGAAATTCATCAATAGGAACTCAATGTTTTTCAATAACTCATTTTTGTTTGAGCTTCTTATAGTATTCCCATTAGAGCCAAAGATTTCCCAGAAATTTCGCATGCAGATAATAGGCAGGATGTTTATGTCTCAGATTTCCAGTCTCCTTCCCTGTTTCTGAGACCAAAAACAGTCTTGAGGAGATGGTTCCTGCACATCATCCTTKCTTTGGTTTCACTGTCGGAAGTTTACCCATAAAAACAGAAACTGTTGCTTCCCCTCCACTGCCAGCCTCTAGCGGGGCTCCACTATCGCATCCTTCCCTTCTTCGGCTGGAAGGTGCAGAGAGGCCAAATAAATGTATCCGTGTCCAGCAGCTGGAAACCCTTTGGTGCTGTWACCAGTTAGATGCTAAAACAAAACGATGCATTTCTGATGTAAAATAGGTTTCTTTGAATGCAAGTTTCTTCTAGCTTATAACATGAGCATGGCCACTTCTCCCATGTAGGATAAGTTCATGCACTTTACTAAAATAATTCCCATTTTTAAAACAAGCAAATAACTTATGATTTATATTTAGCATCATATAGTGTAACCAACAACTACAGAAATAATGCTTTTTAAAATTTATTCGTCCTCCTTTCCCACCTGTGTTTTCCGTACTGGCTGTTCAAGGTCAGGAGGAGAGGCAGCTGAAGGCATTTGCCTCGAGCTGGGACATGCTGGTGACGTCTCAGATGCCCTCCAGCCTTCATGTATGGCCGAGGGGCATTTAACCTTCTTCTACCATATAATCTGGGAAGAAACTGCATTTTCCTACCTCACAAGATCTCGTAAGAGTAATATAAAAATATATAAATAAGTTCACCCGACTCAAATCACCCTTAGCAGCGCAACTGATCCTGGTATCATTTGTATCCTGATAGTATTTGATCCAAAATATAAATCATAATAATAATCATATAGAAATAAGGAATATAATAGGGGCAGTTATACCTGAAAAAAAATATTCCCACTCTGTTGCCAGGTCCCTTTCCTCCCATTTCATCTTTGTGAGATTTAAAAGCTAGGAGTCCTAAGAATTTAAAGTCATATTTAATGCCTATGTATTTGCTGCTAAAGAGATATCATCTCAATTTCTTGGCTGGAAAAGACGTGCAGCAATCAAAACTCTCTTTTGCTAGGATCCTCTCAAAAGTCTCTGCATAATTTCCAGTTGCAGTGAGACTGGACTCYTGATGGTAGGATCAGTCCGGAGACTGGGTGATTACCTCGCATTCTTTCTTCACGCTGCTTTCTTTTATGCTCCCCATAATTTAGTGCTTTGAGCTCTTCTTATTCTACAGAGCATCACTTTAGCTTCAGAGCTCATTGGCCAATAAAACATGGCCTAACCTGACCGTAAAAGCAAGTTTAGGAACAGGTCCTGAACATGTTATTTTTTAACCTTGATCCAACATTGATGTCAACATTAAGGTACAACAGTTTGGCAGAAGATAAAGTTCTGACTTTCTGAGCTTGGGTCACTTTGCTTTGACACAATCTATTGACAGATTAATTTTAGACAGTATGGGGCTAAGCCAAGATTTTACAAAGAGTAATAATAATAAAAATAATAAACAAGTCAATAAAGATTGAATGTTTTCCCCAAGTAATCATTACATTACACAAATCTGCTTATAGGAAAACTTAGCTGAAGCTTATGAATCTTCTAAATTCCATTTACAGTCAGACAAGGTTCAATACAACCATTCTCCACTCTTTTCCACTCATTCCAAACTGAGTTAAAAAAGGATCAGATTATGAAAGGAAGAGACCTGAAATGGCTGAAGTAGGAACATGGCTTATTCAAAATCCAAATCTTCATGGGTGTTTTGCTACTAACTCTAGAATAAGATGGTAAATATACTACTCACCTCTTTGCACAGAAAATATTTAAGGWTTTTGCATGGATAAGAATAGATGATCCAGACAAGTCTGAGGGAGGCTGCACTGCCACTGCARTATTTTCATTTTGTGGGTAAAGCAAAGAGATGGTGAGCAGGACTTGGGATGCAATCCCACCTGCATGGGCTACCTCATCCTGCAGGAGGGACACTATCCTGGCCTGGCCTCCTGTCAATGTGATGATCCCTGAGGTGCCTTCCAGGTCACAGAGTGTCACCCGGATCGGCTGTCACGGACAGACAACATCCCTCTTGTTGCATTCCCATGGCTGCAGAGTTGCTGACACTGGGGAACCAAGTCATGGTTCTCAACATGGGTTGAGAGCTTGAGCCTCAAATCCCAGCCAGCCCAGAGCTTGGTGGAGCTCACGGCTGCATCCCAAGTCCCGTTCCCAGCCCTTGGCTGTTGCGTGTTTGGCAACAGGGTCGGTACCAAGGGGAGAGGGTGAAGGGAGAGGAAAAGAAATCACCGGCTCTGAGCACATGACATTTAATAAAACACAATCTGTACTTCATTATGAAAATGCCGCTCCATTTCAGTAATACACATTTATCGCAGATTTTAATCAAGTATCTCACTGCTCTCAGATGAGAAAGGTGGAAAAAAATCTGTAATGCCTTTTCTAATTGCTTGTTCTCTCTCACTTGTAACTAATTACCCTAGTTACACTGCTAAGGGATTGAGCATTCTTACATTCACTAACCCCCAACCATTGCATTAAAAAAATAAATTCGATAATTAGTCTTTGGTTTTAATAATTCATTCCAATAAATATCTTCACAAAAAATACAAAAAAAATAAGCTACCACAATATCTAGACACCAATATGGCAAAACAGATGAGAAGATAAAGCACCAGAAAACAACGCGCCACAATCGGTGACTTCTAAAATCACACCCCAGCCATCACTAGGTTCCTTTCCCACTCCAGCTCACAAAAGTATAGTAACATAAGTTATTAAAACCTCTTTCTAGCATGGTGAGAACATGATTAGAAGAAGGGATACAGCGGGGCAAGTCTCCATGCTGCACCGTCACAAGTGACCACAACAGGGAGAGCATTCTTACACAAGCAGCAGGATGGGAAGCACCACAACAATCTGACCTACCACCCTCTCCTTCCACAGTCTGCTTTTGCATCATCTTCTAAGCCTGGACGGTGCTTCCGAACATGCATCACTACTTGCAGAGCATGACAGGGTAACCAGATGTGAGATGGTACCCTTGGAAAGGTGAAACATAAGTAAATCCATGGAATTCAGTGCACTTGGCTGTCCTACAATGTGCYTAGGGGTGGCATGAGATAGCTCGACACAAAGTCACTAATGAAACGCTGTCTGTGCTCCTGAGCAGAGCCTTCGTGGCGGCACAGAAAGAGGTGCAATTAAAACAGCTGAATGCGAGGTGAGCAGCAAAGTCTAAAGTGAGAGACAAATGGAAATAGAGAAGCTGGTGTGCACGGATAATCAGACTACTTTGCCATTCTGCTGCAAAGCTACTACAAGCAGCTACTGCAAAATCTTGCCAAGGGCATGGCTGCAAAAAGCCTGATCTTTGGCTCTTTGGTGGTTGCAATGAGTTTATCTCTATACTTGTGAATGTCTGACATTACAACAGTTAATGAAGAATTTGACTTTCCTGACTTATTTTACAACAGAATCCCAGCAGAATCCTGCAGAATCCCGGCTACAGCCCTCTCCGCACACCCAACACACTCTCAGTGGACTAATATTTCCCTTGCTTACAGCAGTACATCACAGATGGCATAACTTCAATTAACTTCACACTTACAGCAATGGAAAAGGGCCCAGTGGAAAAGAGCTCACTTGCTCCAAAGTTAAATTTGTCTGTCTATATTTGTTTTGTCTGTATTGACTGCAAGCAGCCYGTGTCCTCCAACTGTGTATCTTCCTGGACAGGAGCTTTGTCTCAGTCCACAGATTAATCTCCATTCGTATGCACAGAGCTGGAMTCTCTGCTGTGCTTTGCACCAACTGCAATTGCTTTTCTTAATCAAGAGACAAGGGCACGAGCAGAAGGAATCTGAGGCTTTTTCTGAAATTCCTCCTTCCTTCACCTTATATACTCATTCACTGAATTGCTGTTTTATTTCATGGAGAAATACAGGCTATTCCGACCAGCAACATAGCTTTTATACGCGCTCCCAGAGAGCGACCAGGAGGTACCTCTATGAACGAGCTCAGCGTGGGGTGTTTGCCCTCTCTCCCAGCTCGTGTCTGAACACACAAAGTGGCCGTGGGAAGCGAGATCTCTCCTCCTAAAGACRTGACACCAACACCCCAACCGCACAACACGCTCGCTAGCGATGCTGGGCGCTCACACTAATGCCTTCCATCAAGAGACACACCACAAGCTGCTCGATACTCTAACATTTATACTCAGTTATTGCTGCAAGTTAATGTAAAACATTATTTCTGTGCTAGTTAGGAGCCCAGAGTTTCCTTATGAACTCCTACTCACTCCTCATTATAATGCAAATTGGTGCAT